TTACTGTGCAATTACTGCAATTCATATGACCGTTCTTTTTTTAATTTACATCTCGACCGATATATATTCGGGCCTTCCTCAAATATACACAACCCATTAAGAGATCCCTTTTTTCCTTTTTTTTTTTATCGCGACTAGAACTTTGCTATAGATGATCTTTAATGCACCAGTTATTTTCGCCAGTATTATTATACTTATTGCATGTACACAACATTTCAGCCAATATTTTCTTCGGTTTTCCACAGATATGTAAAATTAACGTTAAAGAGTCCTTTTGATGTGGGGCTTCCTATCGGCAATAAAAATTCATGTAGCTGGTCTTTATTCCACCGGTTGTCACTATACTTACTGCATTTGCAAACGCATTTCAGTCGAAATATTCCTCGTTTTTCCTCAGATATATAAAAATGGCCCAATAGTCCGTCTATATTTGACGCCAGTAGATCTTCACTGAAGATGGTTTTTATTCCAATAGTGATTGCCACAATTATATAATAAGGATATGATCTTCAGATATATAAAAAAAATTGACACTTTTGTTTCAAAAAACAGGTTAGCAAAGAAGCACCCTTAAATCTAAATTTGATTGTGGTAATAGGAACAGATTATTTAGCCATAAATCAAATCGAGATAAATGAGAATGAGAAGATTATGCTGCGCCAAAAAACATTTTAAATCCTCAGTTTGAAACATATCTAAAACAACAAAAAATAGCGTCATTGGAATTACGCAAGCAGGTAATAGACAGATGTCTTCTTATCGAGTGAAAATGGCGCCGTATGTAACAGTTAAACGCAAAACAATGTAACAAAATTATTTATGCATGTTGTTATTTTGGTCTGTTTACAATATTTTTATATACTAATAGTAACACGGTGGAGTAATGTATAGCGGCTCGGAATGAGGATTCGGAGAGCCGAGTTCGAATTTCAGTCAGATCCATTACATTCACTTACGTGCTAAAACCTTTGGCAAAGTTAAGAATCCTCTTCTCCCACCCAGCTATGGGTAAAATAGCAAGACAGACTGGGTTCTATAGCTTTAGGTAGCAATCGATCTTGGAGAAATTAACTCTGAATTCAAAACTGTATGTAGCCTTGATATTGCACATATTATACTGCTAAAGAAAGGATCATTCGCATTGACTTTTATTTATAGAAGTAAGGGAGTACAAATGAAAACATTGAAAATTGACAAGTGTTTTCTTTTTACTGAAACAGGCGTTAATCACAACAGAGTTTTTTCTAGCATATCACTATTTATGTTTCTTTCTTTTTCTCACAGAAACAAAGCTGCGTTTCTGATATGTCTTTTTCGTCTTTCCCTGCGATCAAAATGGAATAGTCTATTATTTATCAGGAATTGTCGGGGAGTTTTTTTTTTTTAATTTCTTTCTTTCGTTCTTCCCTTTTTTCTTCCATTTAGTTCATTTTTTCTTTCTTTATTTTTCTCACTGAAACCAAACCGCGTCTCTGATATGTCTTTTCCGATTTTCTTCCTAATTAAAACGGAATAGTCTATCATTTATGAAGCATTGTCAAGGAGTTTTTTTTTTTTAAATTACTTTCTTTCTTCCCTTTCTTTCATTCGTCCATTTCTTTCTTTGCTTTCTTTCTTTCCTTGATTTCTTCTCTTTTTTTGTCTATTTGTTTTTCCCTTTCTTTTCTCAATCAATCCAACCAGAGTCTCTGATATGTCTTTTCCATCTTACTTTGCGATCAGAACAGTCTATTATTTGTGTCGTATTGGCAAAACAGGACATATATACTAGCTAAGTAAAGAAAGAAGAAACTTGTAGAATTATATGATATCTATTTCCAATATCACGAAAAACCACCGCAGATCAATAAAAGACTTACGGTAAATATTTCTAATAGAATCAGATATTTCAAAGTTATATTCACATAGTATATTAATAATATAGATATAAGAACATTCTTGAAAGACCTCCCCAAATTGGTAAGTTTATACCAATCTTATAAAAAATACGTTGACATAATAACTGTGAGTTCAATCTCTGGTCAGAGTAGTACAGTTAGACTCAGTGGAAGCGTGAGGAGCAACAACTGACCAATAATAAAATAAAAACTATAAGAAATATCATTGCGCAGGGGAGAGAGAACAAGCTAAAGGGTTCGACTCGAAATTCCTTGAAAATTAGACGGATCGACAACCGCCTGATGAAGTCCATTTGGTAAAACGGCCGAAGCGTTGTGATAACAAGAAAGACGAATACAATAATCTTAGTGTAAATAATGGAAATAAATATTGACTTTCATGATAAAGCCTTACGCAGTCTATATTAAAGTCTATCCTTTGTCATTAGTGACAATAGATTAATTAATAGTTGTACTAATAAAAGTCGTTGATTGCAAAATAATTATGGGTGAGTGGTTTGATTAAGCGCTAACATACCGGTACTAATCTCTGTCAAGATTAGTAGCGATTGGATAGAATGCAGGGATATGGGACAAGACCTTTCTTTCTAAGAGCCTTATTGGTAAGGGAACAAAAGCAATCACCCAGCTGATCTATTATCTCTGTGTTGAAAACCGTTAATATACATCATACCTTCAATTCCTAATATCTTTGTTTCTCTCTTTTTCTTTCTCTCTCTCTCTCTCTCTCTCTTTCTATCTATCTGTTAATCTATCTATCTATCTCCATATATATAAGAAAACAATAAACAAAAACTTCAAATTCTTGCGGTATTCGCTATCAAAATCATCCAACTGTCACACAACAACATTTATTAGGAGTGTAGCAGCAACACATTGAAATGCATATAACAAGCCATTTTGCATTCGTACCAATTTCCGCTCAGCTCAACTTATATTGAAACACTTCTTTTGCCCAAAACTCATGACTACAACGGAAAAATTAAAATTTTAAAATAACTCTAACAAAGCGTGGTCCTGTGATTTAAAAAAAACCCGGCATAATGCAGATTTTATTGCAATTACAAGTTTATCTTTATAATTTACCACTGAAGATGATCTTGGAAATGACCGAAAGTACTTGTGTTAGAAAAAACTACGGCGCCTTCCTTCTTGAATTTTATCTTAACATCAAGAAACTGTTTAGAGAACTGGAAAGGATCAGTATAAAAATAAATATACACAATATGTTTATATTATTCAATAAAACATGTATGAATGAAGATATGCTGCCTATATATATATATATATATATATATATATATATATATATATATATGTGTGTGTGTGTGTGTGTGTGTGTGTGTGTGTGTGTGTGTGTGTGTGTGTGTGTGTGTGTGTGTATTAAGCAAATGTTCCGAGACATATCATCACAAAATAAGTATCCGCTTAACTTATATGATGTATGAAATATAAAAAAAAAATATATCTGTAAAAAGACAATATAAATAAAGGGAAAATGAAAACTTATATTAGACGCTCCTTTTCGTCCTCAGATGTACTTTATCAAGTCAAATGTCAGGGTTTTATTTTGCATTAAGTTTTTGTAAACAAAAGTAAAAATTTCGTGAAGTTTCAGAATTTTTAAATTTAAGAACGTTCTTAAATATACATCAGGCGAACTTTCACTTTCACTTTCAGGTAAACTGATACTGGAAAGCGTGCTTTTCTCGAATGTTCAATCCGGTAGACGAAATAAAATATGCTTAAAAAAATAAACGGAGCGTCTACTCCAATATAGGCATCCACTAAAAATAACATTTAATATGATATATATATATATATATATTGCTATACTTCTTTCCGTTTTTGAACAAAAGTACTTAAGTTGTTGTGCTCAATTTGACTGAAATATTTACCAGCCTCTCCATGAGGTAGGGTGTGGCAAAAGACCGAATTTAATGTGAGGCAATCCGAGCCCGTAAGCTTGGACAAAAATTCCACGTAACACCGCATAAACGGGTTCGGGTCTGTCTACCTCCCCGGACGAGAATCTGCCCTTCGACATAGCCTCGTCCGGGTTCCTCTCTGCCCGAAAGCAGAAAGTTCGACAACAGCTAAGAGCTGAGTAACACTGAGGAGAACGTAGTGGTTGAAACCGCAGTAGTGTTCTGATCAGCATTCATATGTTTTTAAAAAAAACATTAAACATCTCTCCAAGCCTGGTCTTCCAACTTGATATTGAGCACTTTTAATGCATACGATCATAACAAATATTTTACTGCTTATTTACTCTGACATAAATAAATATATATATATATATATATATATATATATATAGAGAGAGAGAGAGAGAGAGAGAGAGAGAGAGAGTGTGTGTGTGTGTAATTACGTGAGAAGTCGCAGAAAAAGAAAAGCATTTTTTAAGATTATATATATATAATTATATATATATATATATATATATATATAGTGTGTGTGTGTGTGTGTGGACATAGGCATATTGAATTACCATGTCCGCACTGTATATATCTACAGAAGTTTGTCCCAGTAAATACAGAAAAACCCAAACTATTCATATTAAATATTTATAGATAGATATATATCACAAGAGATATAGATTGTTGCATATATATTAGTAGACTGAAACTAGATAGATAGATAAATAGATGAACTGTGCTTGCCTTGCCAAATATAATCCAAGATCAGACTGCCATTGGCAACTTCAAACATCTACCAGTAAATAAGGAAGTAAAAAGCGGCTTTATTTTGTCTCCTGACATTCTGACATAATATTATCTTTTCTTATTTTGCAACAAAACTATTTTCATCAAAGAGAAAGACATCCAGATGAATATCTGTGGTACAAGCCTTTATTTATAATTCTTAGTTTATAAAGTAAGAAAGTCGTAAAATAAAACTAACAATACCCACTAGCGCCACGCATTATAAGACACCGGTAATAAATAGGTCCTATACAATCGGAAATGTTCAACTCCTATTTTGTGTCACTTTTTTCTTCAAATGTATATTTTGATAGGCCCTAAATTTCCCAACTTTCTGTATCATTTTCCTATACTCATGTACGTCTCCTGTTTGATTTTCTTTGCAGACTGTGGCGTTATGACTCACCTGCCGCAGTCAGAGAGTCCCCCAAATGTTGAGGATCTAGCCAAAGAAGTTCAGATGCTGCGGGAAGAAAGCAAACGTTGCCATCGTGAGTTAGATCGATGGAAATCCAATTGCCGAAAGTATAAGGCCAGTTATCTTATTGTTGCCGATCACAACCGAGTCTTGGTACGGGAGAATTCCACCCAGAAATGGGAAGTGGCTTATCTGCAGCAGCGGCTACAGCGGCAACAGGAACGCTACGACGAACTGGAACGTAACTATGATATTCTGCAAGATAATTACAAAACCCTTTCAGGATTATTCAACAGGTAAGTTTTGTTAAAAGTCGTGTGAGTTTACGAAAATCGTCGAAGATCAGCAATTACCAATTACTTAACAGATTGTCTGGTTTATATAGCGTGCGACAGAAATATCTACAACATATACATCCCAAAAAGCCCTTCCAGATAATGGTCTGACATTAGTAGCAATAGTGACTTTATCTAACAATTTTCTTGCCATTTAGTTGGAGGAGGTATTTCTAGGGGGTATTTCTGCCGCATTCTTTACTTTTCATTCTTTTCTTACGAAGTCGGGCACAAGGCTTAAAGTGAAGTTCAAACGATATGCAAGATTAAATTACTAAACACAATTTCCTGTTAATGGTAAAATTAGCCACTTCCTCATTGAAATTTCTAAAATCATTCTCTTAAAACGATTTTTCAATAAAACAGTTTTCTCAGATGCAGTAGTTGTTATCGCTCTTGAAAGTACTGATAGGAGTTTCCTTCCTAACCTTTTATTTGAAGTAGTGTGGAAAGCCATCTTTATTATGTAATTATTGTCTCTTCGAGTTACATGCGATATCCATTTAAGCTGTTGCTCCTGTTGAAAAGTCCTCATGTGATGTCTTTTCTGTCATTTGGTACAGTTTTCTCTTGTTTGTGATACCGTGCCGAAGTTTGAGGAAGGATGATCCTCGCTAAGTAAATTGGTTCTGTCAGCGAGGCCTAGAATACGTTACTTGCATCCTTTGTAGAGAAGTGAAACCTCATAGAAGGGTCCAGGTAGCAAGTAAATGCTTATAGACTTATAAACTTAAATATAAACGATTAATATATATATATATATATATATATATATATATATATATATATATATATATATATATCAAGGAAAAAGCTTAACACATTACGAAAATACGGTAATAAATCATTATTTATTTTCGCTCAGTAAGTCTCATCGACGATACATATGGTATAAATTTACAACATTTATATCTGATGAGACTTATTTATTTCTATTTGTTTTCTATGCATATTAATTATTATGCATTTGTGTATTAATTATATGAAAAGTACATTCATTCATTAGTTGGAAATACAATAAATTAAAAATTTTATGTGTACAAATATTTGTTTCCCTTCACTATATATATATTAAATGTGTCAATATCTGCTAACTGACACATGTCTTCTCTCTCCCCCCTCACTTCCTCACTTCGTTAATTTACATATGTTTAATACGGCCCGTTTCTTTTCATTTTTTCTTTGGAAGTAAAATCTGATGATCCGCAGTCCTTTAAAAGGGCTGTGGTGAAATAATTTATTACATGGAACCTTAAAGTGGTCTGTTTTATTTAAATTATTTGCTCTGGATTTACATTGATCTCTCTGGATTTTATCCTCCTTAGGTTTACTATACGTATTACCTAGTTTTTATAAACTAAATACATACATATATATATATATATATATATATATATATATATATATATGTAATTTTCTTGGAGGTACAAAATGTGCGGTATAAAGGGTGACTGCGCAATCTCTCTAGCTATAGAATCCATTATAAAGTTGTTCGTAACGGGTAGGTCTGAAGGTAATTGTTAAAGACTAGTTTTCCCAAGCGATCAACGTAGGCGTCTTCCAAGATCGCTACTCAGTCCAATCACCTTTGTACATTACATAAATGATCTACCGAAAAGTATAATTCGATCATTTGTGAATATCAATGCTGATACAACGGTATATTGGTGCACCTCCAAATCTAGATGACCGGAGATTAGCGATAATCTCTCCTCTGGATTAGCTGGAACAGCTCAGTGTATGTGGGACTGTCTAGTTACATTCAATGCACCGAAAATCAACCTAGTGTCAGCCCATCATCACCGATCACGATGAATGGTTAATCCCTGAGGGAGTCCCCGTGCCTTGGGCACGTATTGGGCTTTAAACTCACTCCAGGCTTTAAGGGGAACTCGTACATACGACCCATCGTTAAAGATGCTGGAAAAATGGTTGGTTCCCTGTACCGTTCCAGCTTGCCGTGCGTCTCGAAAAGGACCTCCAATCGATTGTGAACTGGGGCATGAATTGGCTGGTCAACTTCAACGCTTCGAAGACAAAACTGCTCTCTATTAATAACCACAGAGAGCCTTCCCTTCCCTCCATTAGAATGTCTGACGCTCAACTTCTCGAGAGCAACTCTCTGCGGCTTCTCGGTCTCACGTTGACTGCTGACCTGAGATGGAATAAATACATCGAGTCAATTGCCTCGTCCACTGCGAGGAAAGTTGGCTCCCTGAGCCGTGCTAGGAAGTTTTTCTCCCCTGAGTCAATCCTCCAGATATACAAATCCACAATTCGCCCTTGCATGGAGTATTGCTGCCATATATGGTCTGGCGCCCCTTCTGTTTGCCTCGGGGTTCTTGATAGGCTCCAGAAGCGGATATGCAATATGGTTGGCCCTGCCCTGGCGTCTCGTCTACAGTCACTTTCTCACAGACGCGCCGTCGCCTCCCTCTGTCTGTTCTATAAATACTTTCATGGAAATTGCTCCGAGGAGCTGCATTCGCTGGTTCCCAGACGTCATGAGTTCCAGCGCCCTACGAGGCTGGCATCCCGCTCTCACCCCCTCACTGTCGAAACTCCTAAATGTAGCCGTCTCTTCTACTCTAATAGCTTCATGTCTCACACTTCTCGCCTGTGGACCTCCCTTCCCTATTTCTGTTTCCCTGTGAGCTATAATCTCCAGCTATTCAAGTGTAATGTCAATCTACAACTCCAGTTGCCTTGATCTATCCACTACCCTCATCCTTTCTTCTATCACTCCTATCTGATCTTGCTATTTCCTGTAACCCCTTGCATCCTAGTGGCTTCCCGCCTTGCTTGGGGTGAAACGCTTAAAAAAAAAATTACCTGACTACTCCTCTACCTTTACAAGAACCAGATCAAACCGAAAATTTAGTAATGCTGCCATATATAGGCATGAACTGATAATCTTCACTTTCCAGTATCGATATTGTCCAAAAGTGTCTTTGTGTCTTTGTTGGTGACAAAGCATTTATCACTTTGCAATCCCTTTCACACAGACCAAAATTAGCAAGACTTTCGCTGCTTTATCCCTATTTTCAGAAAAATTACATTCCTAAGTTCCACCAGTTGTAGCCATCACGGCTAAGTCCGGCCATGCCACGTACATTGTAGTGAACCACCGACATTCCTTTCGTATTCCATTGGTTTGATGTAAGTTCCATTCGAGCATCTTATTTCCACCAACTGTTGCTTTGTGGAACAGACTCCCAAGAAGATTTTTCCGCGATGTCTACAATCCTGACCTGTTCAAATCTAGGTCAAATGTTATCTTCCTCGCATATTTCCATAAACTGTATCCCTTACACTGTAACTCTCCACCTCGAGTGGATCTTGAGCCTTGTAAAAGATGAACATCAATTTTTTTTAAAAATACGTTTAATATTTTCAAGTACAAAAATGTATAAATTCGCTTTAATCATATGTTTAGATTTCATTACAGTTTTAATCATCGCTTTTTAAAGACAATAAACATTGCCGAGGAGTGAAGGTAGTTCAAATACTAGCGATGTTAATTGAGTGTGCGGGAATCTTTTTGTCGATCATTCTATAGTTTGTTTTTAAAATTTTTCATGTAACATATTTTTCAGTATTACTTTTTCCTTATATTTGAGACATTTTTTTTTCTTTCTCACTCCTTTTCTCACAGATTACCACCTCCGGACAAACGTCTCGAGGAGAAATACGAGATGTTACGAGAAGACTACGAGAAAATAAGTAATGACAGAATTAACCTGATGGACAAGGTTAGTCAGCTCACCGAGCAACTCGCCTGCTACCTGTCCGAGACGGTTGGTGGGGACGTCATCGGCGGCGTCGGAGGCGGAGGCGGAGGAGGAGGAGGTGGTGGCAGCGGCGGCGGCGGTGGCGGGGGTGGCGGGGGTGTCGGCAACGAGCCGACGGATGGCGTGATATGGGCAGACAACCATCACCATCACCACCAACAGCAACAGCAACACCATCACCACTTGCACCACCACAACCAAACACACCAACAGCAACAACAGCAGCAATCACCACAGCAACCACAGCAGCAGCAGCAACAGCAGCAGCAGCAGCAACAACAACAACAGCAACAGCAACCACAGCAGCAGCTGCAACAGCAGCAGCAACATCAACTCCACCCACCCCCCCACCACCACCACCGGCAACACCACCACCACCACCACCCCCGCGACTTGAACGACGGGTTAACGGATGACAAAACTCCGCCCTCGTCGACGGGTCACTCCAAAGAACGATATGGCCCAGGTCAGAAAAAGAATAAGCCGCAACCCTACGCCATACGGGAGCTCGGACACTTCGCCCGGCTTCCACCCGGAAGCGACGGAGATGATGAGGATAGCTATTCTAACTTTCCCTGCTCCGATGTGACGGCGGACGGGGACTCTAGAACAGAAATATTTCGGGCGGCCCCGAGTAACAAGGCGACTTTGACGGGCGGCTCCAAATCGACAAAGCCCTTCGTTCGCCACCGAAAGACGAAGCACAAACTTCCTTCGGTGCCGGCCTGGCTCTTCCAACTGAAAAACAACAAAGTACACCCAGGCGAGGAGGACGATTGACAGGAGGTAACTCACGGCCAGGACGGTGGTGGACGGTCGTGTTCAATCCCGCCACTTGCGGCAGAGTTAGAGA